TATATATATTAATCTGAAATCTTTAAAACTAGGTAACATGGATGATGAGACTAAAATTTATAATTTTTCGTTAGTATGTTATTTTTTTTACTGTGAAGTTTGTACGGTTACTGATGAATTGACAGTTATTTATATTTTACTTTAATTAAATGTACATTTGTGTTAAATTTCATTACAACTTGGTATACACTTTTTTTTATATTGAATTTACGACCTCTTTTAATTTTCTTTTATTAAATCTAGAATGAGTAAAACAAAATTATATAAAATATATGAAAGAGTACATAAGAAAGCGCATAAGCGGTTAAATACATGAGTTTCAGGCAAATAAAGAGTACAGGTAGCTGCTCGCATAAGCTTTTATTATTATTATAGTATTTTTTTTTCTACTTTTACGATGCATGAAACGTTGAAAACTGAAAGCACATATTATAATAGTGCAAACTATAATTAAACTTGAAACTTTACCTCAATGTGCCTAATAAAAGATTTCATGCATGAAATGTTACACTGTATTACATGTACAATACTATGATAAAGTTATAATTATAGTAGTTGGAAGATAGAAAGTAGGGTTATCTTGGATCTAAATATAGGAAAGAAGAGTTAGAGCAATATATATATTAATGTGATGATGGGAGGAGGTTTAGAAGAGAAGTGAGCAAGAAGTGGAAGATGGAGTAGAATCTAACCGTGAGGCAGAAGCATGTTAGAAGAATACACAAGTCTGCAAGTGGTGGCAGAGGCAGTACTGCATGAGACATGAGTGCACAAAACCAAAAGCAAGGTAGAAAGAAAGAGAAAGGGTCCAATAAATTCTGACACCACGATTCCCACACTTGTTCCTTCCAACACTCTACACGATAAAGCTATTCCCATTTTTCTTAATCCTTTCCCTAACTCCACTCTCATACTAATTACTACCTCCAACTCTTTTAACATTTAATATTTCTACTTTTCACTGAAACATGCACATCACCACATAACACATTACTATATATCAACTTTGTCTTCTTCTTCCTCCTCCTTATTGTCCCCAGTGTCATGTTCTCCCCACTGCTCTCTGCCTCTGCTATCAATAATATATATTTCTCCACCTTTTCTCATGTACAATGTTCTTTCTTTCTCTAGCTATCCCCTTTTAGTATATATCTTAATCATTCTGTAACTATTAAAAGAATTGCTTGACACACAAGAGACAGCTGTGGATCAAATTTTAAATATTCTACTACTACCACTATACCTTATTTGATTTTAACTACCCTTCTAAGGCTATTGCGATTCTTCTATTTCAAAATCACTTTTAGTTTTTTCTGCTTCTTTTTACCACCACCCGCTATATATTACTATTAAACTAATTCAAAACCAATAATATGTAGGATACAAAACGTGCTTGCTACTAGCACTTTTCAAGTCAGATTTGATCAGTGACTATTATATAATAATATATGTATAGCGTCACATATTCAATGAACATCCTTGCCTATTCTTTCTCAAAAACTGTAGCTTACTTTGTATTTTTTAAAATCTTCAGCCACTAAAACATAACGCTTACATACAAAGTGTGGAAGATCTACATTCAAATTTTATTTTATTTATTAAAAAAAGTGATGGTATAGTTATCAATTTTTTTCTTCATGCTATATTTTTTTTTAAAGGATGTTTGATACATATAATAATATATTTTTTTATGTCTAAGAATTATCATTATGAGAATCATAAATCTTAGTAATTATAATTCTAAAATAATTATGAAAATTTATTTGATTATTCGTAAATGTTTATAAAAATATTTATAAATATTATTTAAAAATCAATAATTTTTAAGAATCAATGATGTTTACTATATTAAATAAATAAATATAACATGACATTTTTATTATATTAAAATTTTATTTTTATCTTGAAAAAATTAGTTTATCACGTCTTTATGAAAAAAATTTCATGAAAAATCTATATAAAAAACATTCTTGAAAAACAATGCTTTCTGAAAATGTTATTTTTTAAATAACAATCAAATGCAAGAAAGTAACATTCTTAATCTTAAATTCTTAGAAAAGTAAAAGAATTTTGTATATCAAACACTCCTTAAGATTACTCATCTAAAACTCGTAACAATATTTTAATTTAAGTAAAAGTTGAAGAGTTAATTTTTTTATTAATTGAAAAGATTACATTAAAAATCAAATATTAATTTTCATGAATTTGCTTCCATCCCTAATCATTAGACTAACCTTGTACTTATTCAAGAATTTTGTTTAATGTGTTTAGATAAGCATTGAGAATTGATTTTGATTAAAACTAATTTTGAAGTGATGTAGTTTGTATTTGAATAATTTTATTACAAAAATAAGTCAATACTAAAACTTAGTACACAAAAATTGTCATCCAACACAAAAATTACTTAATTGCTTAAAGTCATAATTAATTTTAGACTTTTAATTAATTTTGCAATACGAACCAAACATGTGAAAAATTATTAAATATAATACACTAATTGATATTGCAACATAATTATGGAGAATCCAACCTAAAACTAAATGCACACTTCTACACTATTAGTGTGAATATTTACACATGGGAAATGTTATGAAAATAAAAATATTCTTTAACATGCTTTTTTCAATGCAATATTCTTTAACATGCTTTTTTCAATGCAATCTTTTATTAGTTGAAATTTATTGAAAATTATAAAATTTGATTTGTTTCATATCTTATTTAATGAATTTTAACTAATAGAGTGTTAAAAGGAGTATGTCAAAAAATGTATTAATAGTATTTATCTTTTTATATTATTAATTTATTAGAAATTATTCTGAATGTAATTTTTAAAGTTATTACTACAAAATCTTATACTTAAATCCATTCTTTTTTATAAGGTTCAATTCGCAATTCATTATGATTAAAAAAATTAATTAATTTATTTAATAATATTAAACTTATTCTATATATATTTATTTATTTGAAATTACTCTTAACATAAATGAAACTCTTATTTTATTAATTACTTATTAAATTAAGATAAATAATTAAATAAAAAATAATAATATAAGAAATATTTTAGATTAATTAATTCTTATAAAAATTATAAAAAATATTTTTAATTTAAGTCTTACAAAAATGAGATGAGAGAGTATAATCTATGATTAGATGATAGTATAAAAATTAATATATAGGCTATATGATATATAGTATTATAATATAATATTTTCAAAGTTTAGCTGTCTTTACATGTATATAGTATTATGATATAATATTTCATTATCTTGATTTGTATAGAACCATGCATTGAGTCATTTATACATACATGCAGCTTGGGCAGTACAGGGCACGTTTTACAGCTTTTCTATATGTATTGTCACCCCAAAAATCATGGTATGGTATCTACCTCTTTCTTTAACATTTTTCTCATAAGTTTCTACTATATCCTCCACTTGTATTTCACACGCATCTACCATTCTTTTTACACGCACTCCAACGCTGTTCTTATTTTTTAAAAAAATAAATTCCTTATTAACCTTTCATTTTTAGGGAAAATATTATTTTTTGTCTTTGATTAAGATATTTTCATTTAAATTACCGTGCAACTAACTCATTTAACCACAGTCAACAACACTAGGAGCTCACCGGAATTTCAATAATTAATGAGTAATCAACAATTGATATAACATATATGTATATGAATAAAAGTCATGAAAATTCTAAAAAAAATATTCATTTGATTTTGCTCATTAATGATTGATAGTTGTCTCATCTTTTTTACTTTTTTCAAAAGAGAATTCTTCGCTCCGAATTGCTCCCGACAATTGTCATACCGATTTAATGTTCACACTTTACTCCTCTTTCTAAGAATGCCACTTGCTTACCCCCACATTTAACCCTAATTGGTATCTATAGAATTTTTAAATTATTTTGTTTGCTACACTTTAAAATAATATCTTGTTATCACAACTATATGATTTCATATTAATTGTGAATTAAATTTGAAACTCAAATACTCGTTTCTTTTAATAGTTTTGGTTAGTTTTCAAATAATCCTGTTTTTTTTTTCTTTTCTTAATTTGTAATATATCGGTTATGTGGTTGTAATAGTAAATAATTCCCTTTATTTATATATTTTTAATGACAAATTTTATGTCTATATCTTTCTTTTATTGATTATTATAATCACGTTATTGATGCGAAATATATATATATATCCTCTTTATTAATAATTAATTTTTATAAAAACATTAATTGATTATTTTTAATAAGATGTACCAATCATTTTCAGTAAGATGATTTTTTAATTATTTTTGTATCCATAAAATTCAAATAAATATCTTACTTAAAAAGTTCAGTCCTGTTTAAAAGGCTAATTATTAATTAATTAATAATTAAAATAAAAGAGAAAAATTGTTGTAGAATAGTATAAATTATTATTAATATATATGTGGGAAAGGAATAGAGTAGTAGGGGTGGGGACGTTAGTTGTTTATATTTGTAGGGGTTCAGTTAGAAAACTCTGTCATCCAACATGGCGGGGACAAAAAACTGACTAAGCACTAAGCACTATGCCCCATAAAGGAGAAAACACAATCAAAAGGAACAATTTGCCCCTTCTTTAATTTAACTTATTTTATCATTCATCTTCATATCTTATTCTTAAGCTGAAGTGACATTATGACTTATGAGATATCTATCTTACACTCAAGAGGCGGTGAACTATTTTCTCACGTAAAATTGACTTAATTCATCTAGCTAATCAATATCATTATGATACTTTATTTCACGTCCTATAAAAGGTTTTGTTTTTAATTTGCCGAGTAATGGTTTTGTATTCATGCCTCATCGATGATGCCTTTATAGACCAACAAATCATCTTTGACTCCTACTTGATGGAGAAAAAACACAATGTGTCGCAACTTATGGATAACTTTTTTTTAAATAAATTCCCGTGGTATAGCTTTAGACATTGAATACGATTCCATGTTTAGAAAATTGTCCGCAGATGTGAAAACGGACATTCTCTCATTATAATGTATACCTCTCTAAGGGCACACTCGTAATCTTCTGGTAGTCTGAGGATCAAACGAGAATTTTAGGTGGATGTTTCAGAGAGGGAGGGTACTTGCAAAAGGTACTCCGACGTTCAAGTTAGGATAAACACAAATCTCGATAATAATAAATGAACAGTGACATATTTCGTTTTATGTGACTTATTTATACTAGTTATGATGCGTCCTGAGCGTGGTAGGTCTCTTTGACATTTACCAAATTAGGTAATACGATATTAATCGACGAATTACACCTTAATCACGTGTTTATCCTTATTAATCATGATTGTCGTCTTAATCGCTGTGTTCGATCATCTCGGCCGTTCACCGAACCGAGAGGTGTAAGACCGGGGATATCCTTTCGGGCCTCGGCCTCTTATCGAGTCGAGACGTCATTAAGAGGGCCAGCAAGTTATGTTACCCTGGCCAAGCCTTTGATGGCCTCGTAAGTTCGGTTATCACGACCGTTGTCGTATCCGAAAACCGTGTCGAACCAGTTGTAGAAGTCCTTATGTTCCAGTTATCTCGACGGTTGAAATGGTCGAAACCAGTGTTACCAGTGCATGAACAGCCTTTATCTCGACCGTCTCGATGGTCAATAGGACATCACGTGCCATATTACGTAGCAGATAGAATCTTCTCGGTACACAATGCATCAAAGTAAAAGCTAACAAATTATTATTATTATTTTCATTCAAATTAAAGTTATTTGATAACATTCAACAATAAACCAAACACTCTAGTACTAGAAGTTAACATGTTATTTCTACACACATGTGAAGTTAATTATGGATATAAATCCAAAAGTAAGCAAATAGCAATTATACATCTCGAAAGGAGAAGCAATATAGTTGATATGACCAGAGAAACATATAACCCAAATCTATTGAAACTCTAATATGAGGCAATATACAAGTGTATATATAAAGCAGAATAATAAATAATTATCAATATTAATTAATATAAGTGATAGTGACTTATATTTCTTAATCTAAATGTTTAGAATTTAAATCTTGTTATTAAATATGAATACTTATATCTTGTATATTCACAATTTTTAATAAAGATTAATTATTA